ACTCACTGCATAGGCGACATGGGGATCCTGCAGAATGGAATCATCGACCCTGATCACTCGGTTCATGTGATCAGTAGCCCGAGGATTCCACACCGCGGCCTCCACTGTGGATGGGAGGGAAGGAGTAGCCTGTTGCTGTTGCTGCTGCTGCTGCTGCTGCTGCTGTTGTCGGGGCTGCTGTAGTTGCTGCTGTTGTCGAGTTTGCTGCTGCGGTTGCTGCGGTTGTGAGGGAGTAGAGGGTAATCCACGATCCCTCCCGCTTTGCTGCTGAGCGGGAGGCACCCTGGGTCCTCGGCTGAGGCCATCGTGCCGATGCTTCACCCTCCTCTCCTCCTCCACCTGAGGGTCCCGATCTCGCACCTGACCCCGATCAGGAACCCTTGATGATGGGGCAGAGCTGGTTCCTGCCGGAGTACCGCCGGCCGTCCCTCGACCTCTCCCGGCCGCGAGGGATTGCCTCTGCCTAAGAAACCCCAAATTAATGCGAGGGGCGTTGGACATCGCTTCCTCGAGAGCGTCTTCGGCGTCCAAAGATTGGAGAATTTGAAAATCGGGCCACAAGTCGCCTCCCGAAGTCCCCACCTCGGCGTCCGAAGGAGCAACGTCCTCTCTGACCCCGACCTCCTCAGCAACTCCCTCTACCTCTCCCTCTGAAGCCCGATCCGGGTCTTCCTCCAAGTTCTGCTCGACTTCTAGCCTCGCCGCCTGATCAAAGAGCTCTGACCACTGCGAAGGCTCGAAAGGTTGAGGGAGCTGTGAGAACTTCTTATACCCGGGGGTATAGTGCAGCAAATTATGGGCAGCTCGGCCAAATCCGTCGGCGCCCGTGAAACTCCAAACCGTTATTAAGTCGGCAAAATTGACCAGCGACCGAGGGGGTGGAGCTGTTTCCCGAGAAGGAATACCTGCACAACAAAAAAAAATAGTCATAAACACGAGAAGTCCCAAGAAACAAATAAAAATACCCAAAGGAACCGACGTACTTGTCGTTCTCCATTCCCGAGGGCAAAATAGGTCATTGTACTCGGGACCGACACCCCTCTCCCAACATCCCTTGAAGATCAAGATGTCGTCCTTGTACCCCTTGTCCGAGTCAGGAAGATGGGTTACAAGGTACATAGAGGGGTCCCTGGCTTTGAGGTAGAAATGTTGGTGGGGCATGACTCTTAGGAGGGAGTAACAGAAAAGGAGATCGTTGAGCCCAATATTCACCCCGAGGCGCCTATTGAGCTCTAGGACCCCCATAATTATCCGAAAGACGTTGAGGCAGCATTGCCCGGGGAAGAGACGGAAGCGAGACAGGAACTGAAGAAGCAGGGGGGGTAAAGGAAACCTAATGCCACCCTCTATGATGGCCTTGGTATAGAAAGGCATGGCATCCGCGGCCCCGAAGGTAGGAGAGTTCAACAAAGGGTTAAAGCCCACTACGTCCACGCTCGGGGGGATGCCATACTTCGCCCTGAACCTATCGATCTGCGCCTCGCCTGTCACCTTGTATTTCCCTGACCCCGAGGGACCAGCCGATGGATTCTCGGGAACAGGGCGACGACGAGGCATCTCTAAAAGAAAGGGAAGGAAAAGGTGTTCTCTCTTGAAAACCTGAGGAAGTTCCCCGAGGGTTTAAATCAAGAGGTACCGACCGGATGACACCACCGTTCAAATCGGAGAACAAGAAGGCCAGGAGGACGATAAAGAAGAAGGTTGTGAAACTCACCAGAAGACGTCGGAAACGGAGTTTTTCAGGAAAAACTTTGAAAACGACTCGCACCGGAAGGACCAGGAGTCAACAATGGGTTTACTGACTGTGATTTTAAAGAGAAGATACTGTCGAAGATGGCTGAGGAAGCAGAAACTCCGGCGAAGCAGATCAGAAAAGGCGTATTCTGGGTCAGAGATCGGAGTGGCAAAACAATGGAAACCGGAGAAGAACCCCCTTTATATAGGGGGGAAACTGTCATCATTGGGCGGGAGAACCAAAACGGCGCATTTAATGCGCACGACATCCCAAGACGGGGAAAGCTGCTCGAGGCCATAATGAAGGACGGATGGCAGTTGGAAAACCCTTCGTCTCCTGACAACGCGTGTCCTCGGCGTCAGAAGATCGAAGGCTGGGGGGCAGTTGATGGGACTCTTCTGAAAAGCCTATGATGAAGACACGTGTCCTCGGGGGTTTCTAGAACAATGTTGCTCGGGTTCAAGCACCATCGGCAAAAGCGTCCTCTCCCCCGAGGTACCTCTCATATAGGATCACATATTCGGTGCATTATACAACGACACGTGTCCTCGGTCACCATGTACCTCGGAAACACACCACCCCTTGGTCCCCCGAGGTGAGCCTTTCCTCGGTGCCGAGGGTCACTCCATCCTAGACGCTTCCTCTACTCACGGATAAAGTTACTGACGTACGGGACATCAGCCTATGCCAGTCTAGACTATTCATCATGATCTCGTCTTACACAAGTAATGTCAGAACATGCTGGAATACAGAAGTCATAGCCAATACGTGACGGACGCGTGGCATATGATATCACATCAAAAACAGGCAAACCGCACGCTATTGCTGACATGCGCTTTGGGAAGCAAACAATTAATTGCACCCTTCTGTTGACGAGACCGCATTCAATGCGGTAAGGTTCGGATATGAAAGGCAATAAATGCTCCTATTACGGAGCATTTATTACATCCTTCCCGAAAGGAGCATATTGTACCGTCGGCGTCCCGACGACTCAACATTGATTGCTCGGGATCCCGAGCAGTCAATTAGAGAAGACATTCCTCGTCAAATCAATACACACGCTGCCAGTGCCTAATGATCACCTACTGACCACACTGACAACAATCATGAGCTTCTAAGGTATAAATACCCCTCCCAAAAAGGCAAACAGGTATGCAATCTAAAACTCTCAACTACAAAATATCCTTCTCAGTGTTTTCTCCTTCCTCTCTCTCATTCAAAGACTGACTAGACCGTCGGAGGGGATACGCCGGAAAACACTCCGGCGCCCTTCTAACTTGTTCTCCTTTGTTCCAGGAAATACCTTTCACACGTACAGGATCGTTCCTCCTTTCCCAGGATCACCCTTTGCCGTTTTCGGTTGCCACCGTACCTTGTAGGCTGTTTCAAGCAGCGTGTTTGGCTACTCAACCGGCTCACCCAAAGTTCACCAGGGGAGAGATCTGTTCCCAATATTTTATATATCGTGCAGGATCGAGCCCGCACAGAAACCTTTACCAGGCATAATAGAGACAAACCCCACAAGGAGCTGTACATAACAAGAATGAACAAACAAAAGACAAGCCTAAGGAAAATCTCATGAGGTAATCAATAGAAGAAACCCCCAGCAGATTAACCTAAACATCAGAACCTACGTGGCGAATGTTTGATTTGCCTGTAGGGTTATGTGCAACCAATTGAAAAAAGTAAAAACACATTATTGGCTAAGAAGATGTGGTGAAGGAAGACAAGCCAAGCACACCTCATTTCCCTAGTATAGACATCATACATAATCTGAATTGGCTAATCAAAGTGCTACCAAACACACAAATGGACTCATTTCCTTCCATTCAAACAACGTAGGTTGACTGAGGACAGACGATGAATGGGCCTAGACACTGATGTCAGGTGAAAATTGTTAATCTAATCTGATAAATTCTCCTCGCAATGGTTTAAAATCATCCTCCTGTTATCTTCCTCAACATATTGGTCTGCCTTTATGTTGACATAAGTTCACTCCTTGTAGACTTGATGTAATCCCTAGGGCAAATGCCTTACAATAAAAAGTTGGGGGTTGGACTTCCACCTCAATGGAGACCCAAAAAACTCCCCCCCCCCCCCCCCCCCCCCCC